TAAACCAATGAAGTGTTCCAAGTTTAACAATCGCTTCTATTCTGTCAATCGTCCTCGTCGCTTTATCGCACGCAACATTTCTCAAGACAGTGCCGAAGCCTTTACCTTTACCTGATCCAGAATGTAAACGTTACGACGGTCATGGGAGCCCAGTTTGTTGCGGGGCGTCGAATACACCTGTACCTAAACCAGAACCTAAACCAAAAACGACAGTCATTTGAGCTCATCTTGTTGCAAGGCGTCATTCAGATAAACTGCGTGGACACGTGTATCCTAATGGAATATCAGTAAGCGGCGAACTTGCTTTATTGTGTTTTTATAAGCACAACTTTATATATAAAAATTAAGCCTATATTTTTTATTTTAGAGTTTTGGATAAAAGCAGGGGGGGGGGTGAATATTTTGGGGAAAGCCAAGTGTTCAGGGAAACGTTTTTAGATTGGGTTTATTCTTGGCGAATGATTATAATTTTACTTTTGTTGTAACCGATCAATCTAACGTAGAAGTAAAATTGCTTGTTAGGTCAAGTTCCGTGATCGAAATAAACGCGCTATGTAGCAACCGGTTCTCTCTGCTGCCATTATATGTATGTCCATAATATTAGCCACAATGTTGGAATCGATACTGGCTTACCTGTTATTGCCATTTTCGCAACCAATTCATCCAAAACCTTATCTGTTATCGAGTATATGTTAAAATTTATAGAATAAGGAAAAAAATCCCTTCGTGTTACTAATCTCCATATTAATATTAACGTCATGTGATATGCATGTGATATAATTAAAATTTCCATATGATTATGATATGGATAGCAAATCAGGAAATAATTACCAGCCCCATCATTCTATATAATAATAATATGAAAAAACTCTGGATTGAGAGATCAGAAAAATAAAGGAAGCGTATAAACGATGCTGGTACAATTAACTGAGAATACCTCTGCCTCTGACAAATGAAACTGTACTTATCACGTAACTTACTACTTTCTTCCATAGTCACGCATAACAGCTGCTATAACGAACTTATTATCTGCAGTCTGCTTTTTTGCGGTCAGACTTACGTCGTTTATTTCAAAGGTATTGCAATCAAGACAAGTACAAAGACAATAACATAAAATTCTATAGTTTGAGCGCGGGTTTGATTAGACTCTTAATTTTATTTACTCGTTCTTTTTATTATTATTACATAAAACAGAAACTTCGTCACAATCGCACGCCGGCAGGAAAATTACGTGACGACTTATGGCAGGCCACTACTTACCAAGAATGGGAGAACAAGGCTCGCGAACTAGATGTGTAATGGATCACTTTTCTTATCGTAGTAGGAACGAATAGGGATTAGAGAATTAAGGAAATCAGAAAAGACCGCGCATTGGATAAATCTGTGTGGGGAATGGGGTTTGGAGAAATCTACAAGGAGAGAGTAATATTGACGATAATTTAGAGAGATAATAGTCCCACTAAAAAAAAAAAAAAATTAGTAAGAGATCAAGTCATCACTTTAACACGCAAACGAGTCATATTCTGACTTCTCTTTTTCTTATTTACTTGCAACAGTTTGTTAGGTAGGTCCCCCCAATTCTCATTCATAGATGCAATTCTAACGTCTTTTCTCTGTGCAGATAATCTTTTCTAACTCGACGTTTATTCACACATTTGCTTGACTTTCTTAGGCAACGATGTTTGGAAAGCCGATCCTAGATCTCCTTATTATGACTACAAACTGATTGAGCACCGACTTTCTCTTCTTCGCGAGGACCGCAAGAAACAGGATGTTATGGCTGTAATTTATTTGTTACGATGTGGTAAGGGACATGAACCGTGACGGAAGAGTAGAGACGTAAATCGCGGAAAAATAGTGAATGGGACATGGACATTCGAGGGAGCGTGAAGCGCGTAAACGAGGGAATTTTTTTAAGAAGAAAATTGCAAGAGATACAAAGACATAACTTTTCCTTAACGTGTCGTGGACTTTTTTCTTGTCCAAACCAGGCTTGTTGAGAAATCTCGGGGGACTTAATGACGTCAGGCTGTTCCAGAGGTCCTATTTGGGGTGAGTTATATTTACTTTGTTCATCATACTCTGTACCACTTACTCATCAAGTGTTTCATATCAACCAGCACAAAGAACCTCATCGAAGAGTATACTCGCGAAGTTGTATCTCAGCTCGAATATGTAGCTAACTCGGAACTGATGCTCCAATCAATTGTCGAATTCTTTCATGACACTAAACAATCTTTCGGTTGCTCTGCTTTGGTGCTATATGGAGGAGCTGCGTTCGGGCTGTACCATCTCGGCGTGGTCAAGGCGTTGAACGAACGTGGGTTATTACCAAGAATTATTAGTGGGACGGCTATTGGTGCATTGATTGCGGCGCTTGTCTGCATTAATACTGATGAAGAGCTGCCTGTGAGTATTTTTGAGAGCTGAAAATTAGAGAATTCCATTGTAAATATAGTCTTGCCTTTTATGCTATTGATATTAAAAGCTATCAATATACCCTTTAATGTTAGCAAATCTTCCAACCTAATGGAATCGATCTTGGAGCATTTAGTAGAGTAGGCCAGAAAGGAAATGTGCGAAGAAAAATTACTCGTTTGCTCAAACATGGCAAGTATATGATGCACGTAATGGCTGTATTGCGTATAAACAAGGATTATGAAGCGAATAACTTCTCGAAAAGATTATTGCGATTGCTCCTATTAATGATATTATCTGTAAATAGGTTATTTAATGGATGTCAGGGTGTTACAAGAATGTGTCGAGAGTAATATCGGCGACTTGACTTTCGAAGTAAGTTATTTCATTCTTCAAATACGGTTATTGGTTTCTTAATTGTGCGTATTAGGTTAACACACATATTATAATGATCGAAGGAAGCATTTATAAAGACAAAGCGTATCCTCAATATTACCGTAAATTCGGCGAGAAAATTCGAAGTCCCTCAACTATTAAATTACTTGACTGCACCAAATGTTGTATGTATACTTAAAGAAAATTCATGCATGTGTATTCTTGAATTTCCTTCTCTAATCAAACGGTTTCTATTTCCGAAACAACCGAAAGTTGATCCGCAGCGCAGCTCTCGCATCTGTGGCAGTTACAGGATTGTATGATAGTGTCGAGTTACTCGCCAAAGATAAAACCGGCGCCATTGTTCCGTGGGCACCATCACGTAAATATAGCAAATTTTGTAAGACTGGGTTATGGAGCAAATGATACTGATAACAGTATTTGATTATAGACATACAATGGAAAGATTCTGTTCCGTCTGAAAGGTAAGAAATCGTTTGTGAAAGTCAAGATTGTTTAATCTCGATACAATCAATCCTGTGTTTGGCTGACTATCATATCCCTTTGCCAAACGTCTTAACCTGCTATTTATTCTTTCCAGCGAATATCCCTTCCAACGTATAACAGAACTTTTCAACGTCAATCATTTCATTCTCTCCCAAGCCAATCCCGCCGTGGTACCGTTCATGCCTAAAGAGTCTTCTAACAAGATAAATGGGTTTATCCTGAAATGTGGACATTTTATTTCATCGGAAGTTCAGCACCGGTTGTATCAGGTGAGGAAGGGAACAAATGAGAGTAGTAGAGAGGATGCGGGATTTAGGCGATTGCTGGATTACCAGCGAGCATTTGTCGGATACTAACTACGCGCTTCCCCCATTTTCTCTTCCCTCCAATGACACAGCTCGAACACATGCATCTCCTTCCTAAACTGTTCCGTAGTGTCGTCGACGAAAAGCTTACTGCAAACGTCACTATAACGCCACACATTTCTTTTTCCGATTTCAAACAACTTGTATCGAATCCCACCAACAATTCTCTCGGCTACTGGATTAAAAAAGGCGAGCAATCCACATGGCCATTGTTGGCTTTGATTAGAAATAGAACTTCAATTGAGTTGGCTTTGGATCGACGTAAGTATGAAAAAGAAGAAAAAATCACATTGTCCAAAAAAGAGCAGGAGACTAGGAGTAAACTCTAAATACTAATTTGTTTGTGATTGTTCATAGTTACACTGAATCTTAAACAAACCCAAAGTGATCGAGTGACTGCTACCCTAACTGAAGAACGGAAAAGAAGAAGGACACGAACCAAATCTATCCAATAAGTCTACAACACTGTTAGACACCTACCCGTATTTATCGCATCGAAATCTTTCCTAACAGTCTTCTTTTCCGGACAATACACGTAATAAAAAGCGAAATATCTACTAATTAGTACTTCAAATATTGTTTTCTGGGTCTACCATTCAACTCTGTCATCAAGTTTTATTTCCACTACCATATTCAGCAAAGTGCTTTGATTTTGACGTTTTTACTTGTTGTTTTGTCTTTAATTACTTCCTGAATATCAAAGATTCGACATGGTGAAAGGTGAAGACCCTGTCTGAGGGTTCGAATTGGAATTCGTGCAGTAGCATTGAATGTTGCATTAACTCGTTTTCCGCATAAGATGTGAGGCTGACAAACGTTGCTTAAACATGAATTGAAGGATTATATTACTACCATATCACCTGTAATTGCGAAACGAGAAAGACATGATTATGGCGTCGCATCTAAACGTTAAGGCATAGAATTACTGATCAAGTAATTATTTCGTGAGAATAAAATAATCGTGGGAATTAAGCCACTGTGAGCGGTCAATTCATCCGCGTGATTTACTGTCCCAAACCTGGTCGTTGCTTTCTCCTGACATCGAGGAGAGAAGGGATGCGCAAGCATGTAGAAAATTCGATGAATGCATTTCGTGTGATGTCATAATCATTATAATATACCATATTCAGTTATGTGCATGAAGTGTTCGAATGCTATTTTAGGAATATAGGGATTAAAAATCACGCAATTTCTGTTTGCGCTTGCGATATGCTTAATAATACAATAAAAAAATTATAAATACAGCAGAAAGATGGTTGAGACCTACAAACTAGAGAGGCTCGTTCACTTTGCAACTATAACAAGTTTGCCTGTACTAAAGTTTATCTCGAAACAATGACACCAAACTTGCCAGACTCTGAAGATTATGCGTATCCAAAAGTTCACAATTCAACTACAGATATTACCAATGGACACATTCTAGGTTTCTCTACTCGAGCTATTCATGTTGGTCAGAGCCCTGATCCAACGACTGGGGCAGTTATACCTCCAATCTCGTTATCAACAACATTCGCTCAAGATGGTATTGGTGTGCATAAGGTAAACATCTGATTGTCATATTAATTCATCAATAACAGTCATAACGTCTTACATAGCATACTAAAATGTCACTTTTCAATATCGATCAGGGATTTGAATATTCTCGAAGTGGTAATCCAACTCGCCAGAACTTTGAACAGGCCATTGCGGCTCTCGAAAAGGCTGATTACGCCATTGCCTTTAGTTCAGGATCGGCCGTAACCACAACAATAGTAACGGCACTTGCTCAAGGCGGCCATGCGATCATTGTAAACGATGTTTACGGTGGCACTTATCGATACTTTACCAAAGTAGCAGCCACCCAGGGCATCCGTTCGACGTTTCTTGATCTCTTGGATCCTCAAAATATCGAAAATGCATTTCAAGCAGATACGAAACTCGTCTGGATCGAGACACCGACTAATCCTACTCTACGATTGGTAGACATTCATGCAGTGGCGAGAATAACACATCAGCATAACGCCATCCTCATAGTCGACAACACATTCATGTCTCCATACTTTCAGAATCCACTCGATTTAGGGGCTGATATCGTTGCCCATAGCGTAACAAAATATATCAATGGTCATTCCGATGTGGTAATGGGTGTAGCGGCGACAAAGAACAAATTTATATACGATAAATTGGCATTCTTTATTAATGCCATGGGTTCTGTTCCCAGTCCATTCGATGCATGGCTGGCTAATAGAGGTTTGAAGACTCTTGCACTGCGAATGAGACAACACGAGAATAATGCAATGGCAATAGCCAGAGCATTGGAGGGACACGATAGTGTGGAAGAGGTAATTTATCCAGGATTGGAAAGTCATCCTCAACATGCATTAGCAATGAAGCAGATGAAGGGATTTGGTGGAATGATTAGTTTTAGGATAAAGGGAGGTTTTCAGGAGGCAGAGACATTCTTGAAGAATACAAAGTTGTTCACGTTGGCCGAATCATTGGTACGTATTTTTGTCTATATGTATATCATTGTCTTTATTCTTCGGTAAATTATTATAACTTGTAATAATGTTACAGGGAGGTGTCGAATCATTAGCTGAACACCCGGCCCGAATGACGCATGCTTCACTATCCGAGGAATCACGATTAGCAGTCGGTGTGACCGATAATTTAATTAGACTATCAATCGGTATTGAAGATGTCGAGGATCTGGTAAGCTATTAAGCGTTGTCTTTTTGTTTGTTCATACACTATTGGATATACATATTTAATGAAATCTCTTTATTCTTCTTTTCAGTTGGTTGATGTCGTTAACGCACTAGAGAAAGCAGTCCCTCGAGTATAGAAGTCGTTTTTTAAGTTTTGCAACCGTTTAATTTGGCACTGGTGGCTAGCTGTTAATAACTAATTAGAATCGTGTTTGTTTACAAACATCTATTAATATAGACCTTGTAAATCATACAATCATGTCACGTTTGTGTGAATCACTACAAACACCGTTGTATGAATTGTATAATAAATAATATGTACTTTCATACGCCTTGAACACGTTAGTATTCTATCACGCTGTTACCAATCCCATATTGAATTTCGCAATAATAATGTCAATTTCTTGCAACATATGGCCGCCTTACACCTATCCGTAACGTACCAAGCTAATAATGCTTTCATAGAATGTTGCGCATGAATTGTACGAATAATGATTCAGTGTTCCATCGATTCAATGTTGACGAACATTGAGTATTAACATACTTGTACGCATAAAGGGAATGTTGAAAACGTTAAATATAACGGTACGATGAGTTTTTTCGCTGGGGTAATAATTATTACTTAATGATTAAGCGTTCCATCGATCCAACGTTGATGTATCTAAAGAACGAAATCTCCATGACATTAACACATTTTGCATTCCGAACAACTTGCACAATTACAATCAATATATTATCATATGAGTTTGGGAAATTTACTAAATTTTGTTACAAATTTTCACAACATACTAATATGTTTATCATTCACAACACTGCTTAGTTGATTGTAATCTTCTTTGGTTGTGCGTCTTCAGCCTTCGGGATTGTTACTTCCAACACACCATCAGTAAATTTCGCGCTAATCTCTCCAGAATTTATATTATTCGGCAGGCTGATAGAGCGGGTGAATTGGCCCCAGCGACGTTCTCTAACATGAGTATTGCCTTCATGGTACTGCTGATCCTTTTTGGTCTCGCCAGAAATCACGAGAGTATTATCACGAACGTCCAAGCTTATCTGATCCTTTTTAGCACCCTAATTGATTGAGAAAGGAACACAAGTGAGTCGTTTGCAACAGACAACAGGTTGGAAGGTAAAATCCAACTGAATAAAATATGACTTTACCGGTAGCTCGGCGCTCACAAGATAATCCTTTTCTCTTTCATGAACATCGATGAGTGGAGTCCATCTTTGTCGATCATTAGTTCGTCTGGTTGATTCCCCGCGTCTCGTTGCTCCCAGATCTCTGACGAAGTCGTCGAAAAGACGGTTGACTTGGTTTTCCATATGGTCATCAAATCCGATGAGAGACATTATTTGTTATCGAGTTGTTTTATTGATTGTTGATTTGTAATCTGATGTCGTCCTGCTTGGTTGTATATATATTTATTGGTATATTCACGCGCCTGGGAAATTCTACGATGTTCCAGATCCGAACATGGGAATTAAATTGGCTAAAAAGGAAACGATTTTCAGAGGCAACAGAATTTAGAGTAACAAACATGATATGTCGCACAAACTCATCAACAAAAAACAATATTCTAACTCGAAGCTATACTTAAAAAAAAAAGGAAAAATCAATTTTATAACTTAAAGATATTCGTCACCACTTTTCTCAATAATAACTGCTTCACGCCGTTGCTTTCTTGAATCTACTAGATTAATTAGAACCTTAGCACCTTTCTGTAACAGTCGCACAAGCTTTTCGAAGGCGTGTTTAGGCGTTGAAAGCTTTATCTTTTTATCTTCACCTCTGGATGTCTATATTGTAAGTTATGTGCTATTAAATATTATAGAGGTTCCTAATGTAAATAGGAAGGAGCAAGGGGCGACTAAATTGGAAATTATTTCTATTCAAGACTTAAAATTTGAGGTTTCGAGTCCTTTATTGATCACAAGACTTAAAGTTTGACACTTCACGAATTAAGTCAGTATAACGTCCCCTGGTTTGTTGACATAGCAAAGCAGGTTTTTTAACGGTCATATCTTTTTGATCACACAAGTCTTTCTGGATAATAATATCAAAACATTTTATTGTTCTTTCGTATAAATGTCACTAAATAGGACTAAACATCAATAATGCTACATCTAAGCGTAGTTCATTATTCGTCATCATCCCATTCGTCGTCATCGTCATCGTCATCGTCATCTAGCAAATAAAAAAATAGAAAAGTTAATCAGATGTATGTACTATTAACGAAACCAAAATTCAGTCTTCAATCCACATAATAAATATATTACCGGAATCGTGTTGGATAGCAGAGGAACGACTAATAAGTGCATTCGCGATAATTTTGGCTAGATCGTTACTATCTCCACCGGGGCTGCTTGGCTCTGGTTCATCGTACGTAACTGGAGCAGACCTGGGTTCACCGACCTTATATTGAAAATAACATAAGTACAAGTTTTTTTACCTATAAGAGAAATAATATAGAGGATTGTATAGTCTTTACGTACCGAACGCAATCCAGCCCCAACAGTTCCACCAGTCTGTCTAATAGCCGCCATAAGATTTGAGCGACCTGCATCAGGGGATGGCACTGCACGTGTAGCAGACGGTCCTCCAGGTAGGGAGGGTGGAGGCGGAGGCGGAGGTGGAGGAGCGTTGCTAACTGGTGGTGGAGGCGGCGGCGGCGGTGGAGGAGCGTTGCTAACTGGTGGTGGAGGCGGCGGCGGCGGCGGTGGAGGAGCGCTGCTAACTGCTGGTGGGGGCGGAGGCGGGGGCGGCGGTGCACTATTACTAACTGGTTGTGTACGTGCCGGTGGAAGTGGTGGCGGTGGAGGTGGAGGAGCAGCTGTTGTACGCGCCGGAGGAAGTGGCGGCGGCGGCGGAGCGTGAGTAGATGTTAATGGACGAACCGCTGGTGGTGCTGGCGGTGGCGGTGGTGGAGCGCTAACAAACGCCGAGGGGCGAACTATCGGCGGCGGTGGAGGGGCCGCTTGTACTTTGACAGGAGGTGGTGGAGGCAGTATATTACGATTTATTGATGGTGATACATTCCGACTCGCAGGCAGCGGAGGTGGCGGTGGCGGAGGCGGTGGTGCCGTAACTTTTATAGTCTGTTCACTCTCAGAGTCCTCCGATGATGCCACTGGAGGTATTACGGACCTTCGAGTTGGGGGTGAAGGTGGAGTCTTCGCCTTAGTCCGAGAAGGCGGAGGAGGTGGAGGTTTCTTGCGAGCAGGCGGCGGCGGTGGAGTCTTGGCCTTCACCGTAGAGACTGTCGGTGTTGATAAAGCAGCCTTAGTTGGTCGAGCGGATGGGGCCTTTGGCATGCCGCCGTTTGCCTCGATAAGATCTTTAATAAAACCGGTGTTCTTGGCAATAAGTTCCTGAGAGTGAATAGGTTTGGGTAAGTAACTTGTATACAATCAAAGACGTATTGTCGTGTAAACATGTATATAAAACATACCTGACTAACTCCTAGCTGACCAAGTCTATCGAATAAATCTTTCCACGAAGGATCAATGTTCTGAACCTGAATATAATATATAATATTAGAACATTTACGACTCATTTAAACAATCAAATTGTGTATTGATACTAACATCGAAACCAGATTCAGCACTCCAGCCAATATGTCCCAGGTGTCTTCATTTCGAATAATAGCATCAGAGTCAATATTTTCGCTGCTTGTGAAGAACACTTGCAATAATCAATCATCGTTACCTGAAATCTGTCGGCGCACCAATCGCTGCTTTATCGATTTTTCCACGCTTTTTACCCTTCTTGCTCTTCTTTCCTCCGCCAAAAATACCAGTATTACTTTGCTTTTGTGTTTTGGCTATAACAGTGTAGAGCGATTGATAAATAGTGAGTAACCGATTTAACTGCATGCCTAAAAGATTCTTACGCATACCTTTAATGATTCTTTCTCGATTCATGACTTTCTTATAAAATACAGCTGCCTCAATTTCATCGGCAAAAGAAAATGCAGCCAGATATTTCTAATTAATGTGGTTTAACATAATTTGTAAGCATGAACAATATCAAAGAAGCGACTAACAATGTAATAATGTTTAGTATCAAGAACGCTTACATCAGTCGAAAAAGTATGAAAGAAAGGGCGTTCTTGATTATAAACGAAATCGGTGTACAATTCTTGTTCCCAGACAATTCCGCGATTCTACAGAAGATGAAAGACCTGGTTAATGCACATAGACAAAATTATCATTCACATATTCTCAAGAACATACCGCTGTTAAGTCAACGAGTCTAAAGAAAAACGACTTCTTTCCAACGTCAAAGGCAAAGACTATAGCACCCATAAGGTTTGTATAAGTCCAAGCATTTGGGTCCGGATAAGCGACGTATAATCTTGCAACAGTTGCATTGATGATTTTCTGTTTGGAGTGAGAACATGTTAAACTATATGGTTAAGATCATACAGAATTTGTCATATACATACGTTAGCTGGGGAGGGGACGGCTTTCCTGATATTGCGTTTGTCGTCGGGATTTGCAAGAGTGACTGACGGCATCTTTGTTAGTCGTTATTGACGAAATTCAACAGTGAAAGACTTATGCGTTCTTTATATTTGTCCTCTCTCGGCGATAATGAAACTTTGTTCGATGGTTGCTCAGCAATTATTCTAAAAATAGTATAAACTCGCCTGATAAATTTCTCGGCAAAGAATGTCGTACACACCGGTGATATAATAATAAGAAATTCCGTCACGCTAAGTCAGCAGCCCTGAACTAATATTACCCTGAACCACACCGTATACCCGGCAATGATGCACCACCGTTGCAAAATCAATATAACGTCATTCATTTGTACCGCAGTCGGGAAAGAGGGATGCGGCAGAGAGATCATAACGTTTTCGATGGTGCGAAAACTCTAGGCGTGTTCTTGGCGTTAAAAAGCATTTGGCTGGTCAAACTAGTATTACCGATAATTATTGATGGGAGATTGGCTGCTTAAGAATGAAACTTATTTGGTAAATCTTTTTTACAAACCAGGAGGAGAAACCAGAATTAATAGGAAATTAAGAAACTATTCATTGAGATGTGATTACCGCAGTTTGTCAATGGCTATAATGTTAAATATTATTAATTCTTCTCCATTATAAATAGTGTGGGAATATTTTCAATTTATAAATAATTGTAATTCTCGAGATAGTAAAATGTGTTAGACGAAACGTTTTTCTTATATGAAATAACTTGTGAAAATATTTATCAAGCGACCAACATGCCTTTTCCGGTTAGGAATCATAAAAATAGACATCTTTCGAGCATAGCACTCAGAAAATTATACCATTTTTGGTTAACCTATACAAGAAAGGTTTAAATAATATGGTCCGGTGCAAAAAGATAGATACCTCAGATTATTGCAAATAAATTTTTTAAGAAAAATTTTTTCTAAAAT